TAACAGCAATCAGAACCTAAACGAGTTCCATAAGCTGTTTTTGAATGCCTTGTCTTATGAGATGGCAACCCAAACGGTTGTCTCTTCTCTATATTATGAGTTTAATACTGATAAATTTTCATACTTGATTGTTGACATTATGGGCTAATTCTTGGATAAATAGAAATGTTAAGGTAATGCTAAGTTACGGGTCTACCTTCGTATGAGTTCACTTGTGAATTCTAGCTAGTGGCAAATCGTAAAAAATATAAATGATAATAATGAATCAATCAAAATATCTGCAGTTAATAAAATCTTCTTAAAAAATATAAAGTGCATGAACATTTTGCTAAAAAAAATGATAATATAGAGCATGTGATTCGATCTATATATTTGTCTTAACTGTATATAAAATTATATATTTATTAATTTCATACTCTTTGTATATTAAATTTTAATAAATGAAGATAAAGTTTAAATTTTAGAAATATTTAATAGAAAGCAATAGTAAAACATTCGACATCTTTGTAGGTTCAGTGCTAATATCAATATTTATTTGATCTAATTAAATTGTTGTTAGGTAAATTCATCAGTTTGATTTTGCCACAATACTCAGGTGAAAACACAGAAAAATAAAAAATAAATCATCAAAAATATAATTACTAATATTATTTGAAGCGATCAAAAATGTCTCTCGGGGCTTAATTACAAAAACAAAAATTAATTCAAATAAATAGCGATAACTAACTTTTAGGACATTTTATACAAAGCAAATATAGAAAACATTTCTGAGTAGGAGAAAATTGTCTGAGTAGGTTTAATGCTTATATAAAGTTCACCATTTGATCTAATTATTTATTATATATTTTCATCTTAATTAAATTTTTGTTAAATTCATAAGTTTGATTTTCTTCGAAAATCCGAAACAAACAAGTTTTTTACACTATACTGATCATAAAAAATATAATTAATAATATTTGAAGCAATCAAAATTATTGCTCTATGTTTATAGGTAAAGCAAATATTTTTAATAAATATAAATACAATTTATGAAACAACAACAAAACAAGTTGATATCTGAGTAGTTACAGTGTTAATTTAAAATATTTAATTTGATCTATTTTTTTTCCATTTATTAAAACTATTGTAAAATTGATTTGTTTTATTTTGCGTTTTATTATATATTTAAATGTTCAATTGAGTAAAAAAACAGATGAATTTGTTGTTTTTAATTAAATTTAATTATTATTATATGAAATCTTAATATAAATATATTTGTTTTCTGAACTATCATATTAGCAACTATTTGTAGTTTATATTTGCTCAAACTAACTAAGATATATCACTGGATTATCTTATATAATATCATATTTATTTAAATGTACAGTTTTCCTCATTATTGTATTTCTGATTGCTAAAATAAAATTTAAAAAAACTTAAATTGAATTAAAGAAAATGAAAAATAAAGCGCAAATGTCAATCATCATAAAAGCAATAATATGAAATTTTTCGTCTGGATTTAATTTAACGTTAATAAAAAGTATTCGATTTGAAATAAATTTTAGTAAAAGGAACATTAAATTGATTGGTTTGAATTTATAGTTGAATTCGAATTATAGAGTTTTTAGATGTATTGCTTTATTTTTACTTTCAAATAAATTTTGATTATTAAAATTATATTGACAACAGCTTGATATAACTTTATTTGCATTCTGATCATATTTGCAAATATTCGTGGTCACTTTAATAATACCTACAAATAAAAATAAACCAAAATCTACCATTGCGAATCCTTTGCGCAAATGTCAACTAAAGTGTGATAACTACGTATTCGATAATCCTACATGACAACATTTACAACAAATTTCTATTTACTCAAATACAACAAACAATCTATTATTTTTCACTAAATGCACTAAATTTTTACCATGACGTCATATCATCAATACATTGATTTTACGTTTCAGAAGCTGCGTCATAGCTAGTAGTACGTCGATTCTATAGGCATGCATAGGCACATATACATAATATTAAATTAATTCTTTAATAAATCTCACCATTTCGGTTTTGATCACTGTAATCCATCACATTTGTATCACAGTTCGAACGAACACAACTGTCGTGCACAATGGGATTACATTTATGCACAAAACTTGAACATTTGACGCGAAAACACATCGATTTGAACGCTCATATGCGACGTACAAACCCTCGGGTACGAGTACGACTTCAAAGGGTGCGAACTACCCCTCCCTTGGATAAAGAACGTTTGCGTGGCGTCATTTGCGCACGGTACCCGCATTTATAGAACATTTTAGGACATGGGGTTAGAAATACTTTGTTGGGTTAAAAATTACACGTTTTATTCACTAAGCATCAAGGATTTGTTTAAACATTATTTCATAACGCGAAAAAACACACTATAAATTTTTTTCTCGTGCACGCAGGGGCAAGATTAATTTATATTTTTGAGCTTAATTTGCGCTTGCGCCAACTACCCGATACAACAACTGTCGTAAATAATATATAAATTGTTTATTTTTATTTACCTGATTTGATTTGCGAAAAATCTCAACGTTTATTTAATATTTCGAAAATAACTATCCACTTGATTCACACTAACGGAAACTGGAAGGCGGTTTTCTGGACTAACAGAAAATTACTATTGTCATGTTGGTACGCATGTTCAATGCACGTTTTCGAAATTTTCTTGATTTTTTTATACAATATTTTTTGTATTAAAAAAAACCAGAAACACAATTTTTTAATTGATGTAAATACGCGCAGACTCGTGTTTTATAATTTAATTAATTACTTTGACAGCCTATTTTTTGGATTAACATATAGAAATTACTATTATCATATTGGTACGCTTGTTCGATGCACGTTTTCGAATTCATCATTTTTTATTTTTATACAATGATTTATTTATTCAAAAACATTTAATTAATTTATTCAATATTTTATTTAATTAATGTAAATACACACAGATCAGTGTTTTATAATTACTTCGATAGCCTATTTTTTGAATTAACAAATAGAGAATTACTAATATCATGTTGGTATCCTTGTTTAATGCACGTTTTCGAATTTTTCATGATTTTTTCGAACAATATTTTAGTTATTTAGCAAAACAGAAAATACAATTGTTTAATCAATGTAAATACACGTAAGCATTTTTAATCGCAAAAAAATCAAAAATATTTTTTTTTATTTATCTTTACGTTTCAGAGTTTTCTGAACATTTTGGCATACCTTAGAAAAAATTGATATATATGTGTGTGTTGTGTGTATGTGTGTGTGCGGATTCAGATTTTCGTCGACGATTTCGCGAATGCGGATCAACCGATTTGAATAATTCAAAAAACATATTCTATTCCTACTGATAAGGAGACGTGCGTTTTTGGCAAAGGCAAAGTGCTAAAAATGTCAGTTCGTAATAGAACTGATCAACCGATTTGAATGATCCAAAAAACATTCGATACGTAATGATGGCGAAAAGTAGTGATTAGATTTTGGCAAAGGCAGGTCCAGCCGTTTCGGAGATATAGAGCTAAATGTGCAGAAATGGCAGTTTGAGAGAAATAAGCATCTTATTTGAATAATTCAAAAAACTTCCTGCTTGTGTTGAAACGATTATTTGTGGAGATTTTTTTTCATTTTTAATAAAGAAAATAATTCAGATTTTCAAAGTTTTATTTCGGTAGGAGAAGTTGCAGCAATTTGCCACTTTTTTTTATTTCCAAAAAACACTTTTTTTGAGTATCAAAAAATTATTCGGATTTTAATTCTAACTCTAGCAAAAGTTCTGAACATCATTTATGTACTTCAAATAAATAATTTTAACTTTGCAATTCAGATCAACTGTGCTCAGATTTTATTTAAAAAATCATTCACTTCCAAAAATATAAACCAGTTAAATCGGGCTCTATAATATCCTAATATTCATTTCATTTAATATATTCTATAAGTAATTCTAAAATATTAACGATTTAGTAATGTAAAGAAATATTTCACGGATGAAATGAATATTTCAGGTCAGAACAAATGATTGCCATTATTTTTTTAGAATATCAATCGATCGATATTTGATTTGATAACTGTGCTCTGATTTTATTTAGAAAATTCATCGCTACATAAAATATAAATTATTTAAATCGGGCTCTATATATTCTTTATTTCATTTAATATATTCTGTGCACAATATAAAAAATATAAAAATCAAATATTTTAAAAGATCATTACAATATAGTAAAATACATCTTATCATTATATCAGGAAATTCGGGTCACCGCATTTAAGATATAACAAGACTATTCTCTATCATTCAATATTTGATTTGGCAATATAAAGAAGTATTTCACGAATGATTAATACAAATATTAATACAAAAACAGCAGTTCTTTACTACTGCTAATACATTGAAGGGATTAAAGAGGATCTAGGAAATTCAGGTTTTTTTTTTTTTTAAAACACCATATATAAATTCTGAAATTTTATAATTATAGTCTATGTCCCAAGCACCATATAACTTATTGCACTGATGTGTCAAATATAACACATTATTGATAACAGAAATTACAAAGGCAAATTATAAAATTGTTTCCAACTATTATAATACCATGTTTGTATAACAAACAATATTCTTAAAGTTTACGCATTGAGCGAAATATTTTGTAGCTCACTAGTTCATACCATTTTTATTTAACAAAATTGGGTTTTAAATTACAAAATAACAATATAAATTTAGGGACTTGTATATAAAAATTCAAAATTGAGTCTCGCAGCATTCAATGCAAAATGCTTAAGCATGAGACAATGCAAAAATTACAACAAAAATATTAGAAACAACAACATTAGTAGATTATACAAAATACATGATTAGTTAATCCAATAATTTATAAAATTTTTAGACTTAAATATTTAATAAAACAAAGTTTACGGATCATATGTTAGAAAAAATCCAAAATTATGTATTTATCACAATTGAAATTTAAATATTATTTCATAATATGGCATGCTAGTTTTCAAGTCTTCATGGCAAACCAGTTTTTGTTTCACTAGGCTAATAATTTGAAGGCAGCATCGAATATACATTTTTTCTCCTAGTACTAGATTCTAATGCGGTTGTTGCAAATATATTAATTATAATACTAATTTGTTCCTTAGTACGGTTCATAATTCACATTTAAATATATAAATTCATTTTTAAAATTGTTGTACTATGAAATAATTCAATAGTGTGTTCTTACACACCACAAACCGATGTTTGTTCTAACATTTGTTCTTAATACTAAAAATTTGTTTGATAAACTGTGATGTTATTCAAACCGTAGTAAATAAAATCTTATATTGATACAGATTGCTTTGTGCAATTATTGGTATTGCCTTAAGTATAATCGTTTTGTTAATTTTGTGTTTGTGTTCTTGAGATTTGTTAGATATTAATGTGCAGCAGATTTTCCAGAATCACGGCCGCGTCTTTTATGTAACAAAGCATTATTAGTGTTGTCTAAGTTTTTGATGTGAACCTAAAATATAATCATCACATTTTTAAATAAATCACATGCTATTTTTAATACAATACAGCACAGGGTTTTAAGCAGTTTGTATTACCCATGGTGATGTAAATATGATCTATATGAATATATTTACCTGATCATAGTCAACTCTCATAGTTGCTAAGGATCTAGTCATTTCTTCTTGCACTTCTGGCCAGATGTCTTCACCTTCACGTAACATTCTACCAGTGTGCAAAGGAGTTTGAGGTACCGCAGTATATTTCTAAAAAAAAAAACATCACAAATTTGAATACCCAAACAAATTCCCAAAATTATATTTTATAATATTTAAATTACAGCTATCCATTGTGTTCTCATGAATTGGTCTATTGTAAATCTCTTGGTGGGATCTACATCCAACATTCCACGAATTAAGTCTTTTGCTTCTTTAGATACACAATTCCATTCTGGATCAGGAAAATCAAATTGTCCTGTTCGAATACGCTTTTTCATTCCGGGTGATATTGCCAATCCGTTGTTACTGTAGAAGGGTGGAAAACCACAAAGTCTGAAAGATAGCAGAATTAGAATTAAGCTGAATAGTCCTTTGCTTTGACCACAGAAAAGAAATACTGTGAGTGTACATATAGTGCAAAGTCTAATTTTATAAACTTTAATCAATTGTATTATTTAAACTCATCTTATAGGACTCTAATATTTTAAGGACTTAATTTTCACTATCAATTGTATCATTAATAGCAAAGTTTCATCAAAATCTCAGGCAAATAAAACTGAGGTTGTCCTTGTGAGTCAAACTAATAATTTGTTTTATTTAAATTAGTTTTAACATATTTCTTTAATGGAGAATCTTATATTCAAAAATTTCCACAAAAAACATATTTGAAAAGCAACTCAAATATGTTCTATATGATTTAATGTTTTAATCTTAATAATTTTTTATCAGTATATAATTGCAATTTGATAAAATAAATTCACTGAAAAAATGGTTCTCATACTTAAAATATATTATTACTTACAATATATACATTATAACACCAAGAGACCATATATCACAACTTTTATCATATCGTTCTGGACCCAAAACTTCAGGAGCTGCACAAATTGACAAAATATTAGATTCAAAATATAATTTTCTTCATACATTACATTTTTTCTCATTTACCAACATAATATGGAGTATAACAAGGTGTTGTTAAACTCCTATGTGCCGTAGTCTCCTGTGCAAATCCAAAATCAGTAAGTTTTAATATGGCATCTGGTTGTGTGGTTGAATAAAGAAGATTTTCTGGTTTCAAATCTCGATGTGCGATGTTATTATCATGCAGGTATTTCACTGCTAGACAAATCTCATGCATTACTTGGGCAGCCTCTATTGAAAATAATAGTCATTATATAATAAATCACATTTCATTTCATAGTGAGTAAAATTATCAGAGAATAAATATTATATAAGCCTGTATATTTGCTATAATGAATTTTCTTTAAAAGCAAGAAGTTCTAACAATCGGCAGTAGTTGAAACTGCAGTGAATATTTGAGGTTGATTCAAACTTTAGTGAATTTTATTAATTTCCTGAAGGAGAAGTTCGTTTTCATCAAAAAATCCGATTCACTAATTTTATGTTTTCTCGACGTTCCAAGCCATTCTGAATTCAATGAGACCAAATTTGGATAAAGTATGTGTGTGAACAGATTTTTTGCTGTAAATCAAAGTTTTCTCAAAAATGGCTGGACCAATTTCAAACATTTAAAAGCAATTTGATGTATCTCGATGAGGACTATTGTTTGTCAGTTTTATGCGCTGATCGGCCAAGCCGTTTCTTTATAAATAGCAGAAAAGTGAAAAAATTTTCGTCTACGTTTTAGCCCGCAATTCTGAATCGATTTTGAAAATTCAAAAACCGTTCGAAAGATATTGGTTGGGAATCGTGCTGATTAGTTTTTGGTAGAGATCGGCTGAGCCGTTTTCTTGTAATAAAGTTTTTTAAAAAAAATTTCGACGATTTTTATGATTATTTTTTTGACGGTAGATACCATAGTCTTATAGATCATACTAAAATATTACGGTCATAGGACAACTCGTTTAACTTTGACAATTCATCAAAGTTTGCAAATATTAGTATCGTTTATTAGGCATTTGCCAAAATTAGACCTTTCATCGACGCTTGCTCAAAAACGCCTGAACCGATTTAAGAAATTTAAAAGCCATTTGATGTATCTCAATGAGGATTATCGTTTCCCAGTTTTGTGCGATGATCGGCCGAGCCGTTTCTTTGTAATTTGGAAGAAAGTGTTAAACTTTTCGTCCACATTTAAGCTCATACTACCGAATCAATTTTAAAAAATCAAAAACTGTTTGGAAGATATTAGTTGGGAATGATACTGATTAGTTTTAGGTATAAGTCTACCGAGCCGTTTCTTTGTAATTAACTGTTGAAAAAAAAAATAAAACTGATTTTGTGGAACTTTTTTTGGCAATATATATATACATATCATGGTCTTATAGAACTTACTGAAATATTACGGCTTTACAACAAGTAGTTTAATTTTAAAAATTCATCAAAGTTTGAGAAAATGAGTAGTTTTTTTATGTTTGTTAACATTAAAATTAGACAATTTATTTGGTATATTAATAAAGTGTTCGTTTGTTTTCAATGATGTGAAATAAATATTCTCAGAGAACTTTAAATCACTCATAAACTATTTTGTTATATTTTATTTACACATATTGGGAAGATTATTTACACATATTGGGAAGTTCATATAACTTGCCTTAAGACAAAATACCAATACCAACTAATTATATTAATAATACCTCTCTCTGTAAAACCCTGTTGTTCTTGGATTCTTTGAAACAATTCTCCGCCTTCCATACTAAAATGTAAAACAGTTCAAATAATTATTATACAAATAATTTAAAAGTATTTCATTTCCAATAAGTACCATTCCATAACGACAAGCAAACAATCTTTGCCATTATAAGTATTTTCATACACATCAATAACATTGACAATGTGCAGACACCCACTCGCCTTCTGATGTATTTCGACTTCTCTCCTGGCCTTGGCATTATCATATAACACCTAAAACGTAAAAAAAGACGTAACATATATCCTTAACCATTTATGTATCATTTACCATGTACCTTTAAGGCTCTTTTAACTCCTGTAACTTTATGAAAGCATTGCACAACTTTTCCACTTATACCTAAACCTAGGACTGTATCAGATATACTATAATCATCAGTAATCGGCGTTGTCTTTGTATAAAGACTTGTTCTGAAGTCGCTCATTTTGTACAAAATAGCTATGAAATCTTTTAATTAATATAATATAATACAATGACTAATAATAAATATACTCATGACAAACAAATTATTTGAGCACACAAATACATAAATTGAGTTATTAACAGTTGATGTATTAATTGTTGTATCACTATACGTCAACCTAACCCATTTCTGTCATTTTAATTATTGACACAGTGTTTGATAATTAGTACAGGATAAAGTTTATTTAGAGAACTGACGGATAGCTTCGATAATATGATGAAATTATCGGTATTTAGTCGAGGTGCGAACCGATATCAATGTTTTCGGCGGTGGTTTGAGGATTGGATGGTTTAGGTTTAGAGATTTTTATACAGGTGGCAACCCGTAACCAGTTTTTGAAGCTGTTGGTTGTATTTAATATTCAAAAAGTAGATAACTTCAAATCAAATTAATATTAAATATAAATTAACTAAATTATTTGTATTTTCGATAACCTTTTGGATGTTTTTTAATACAGTGCTACCAACGCGATAAAGTTTAATTTATTTATCTGTCAGGTTGTCGAACTTCGTTTTTAGCTGTCATATCCGTTGCATATTGATTTTGACAGCTAATTTTTAATACACGAATTTATTTTGTTTAAAATATTTCTATTAAATATAAATTAATTGAATTATTTTTTATTATTATTAGTATCAATATTATTGGTTATTTTTTGTAACTTAGGCTGTATTTTTGATAACCGTTTGGATGCTTTTTAATTCAATGCTACCAACGCGATAAAGTTTAATTTATTTATCTGTTAGGTTGTCGAACTTCGTTTTAAGCTGTCATATCCGTTGCATATTGATTTTGACAGCTAATTTTTAATACACGAATTTATTTTGCTTAAAATATTTCTATTAAATATGAATTAACTGAATTAATTTTTATTATTATTAGTATCAATATTATTAGTTATTTTTTGTAACTTAGGCTGTATTTTCGATTACCTTTTGGATGTTTTTTGATTCAATGCTACCAACGCGATAAAGTTCAAGTTATTTATCTGTTAGGTTGTCGAACTTTGTTTTAAGCTGTCGTATCCGTTGCATATTGATTTTGACAGCTAATTTTTAATACAAGAATTTATTTTGTTTAAATATTTTTATTATAGTATGATACGTTTCATAAACTTGCCTGCCTTAAGGCTAATTGCTGGAACTTCCCGTACCGAAAACTAAATTATTAAAAAAAACTTTGCAAAACTTTGCAAAATTTTGAATAAAAATATATTTTTGAGCAATTTTGGAATTTTTGGTAAAAATTTACTTTTTTGAAAAATTTGATTATTTTATATTGTTATTTTTTTTTGTATTTTGTATTATTTTCAAAATTTTGAACATTTTTTAAACAATCGCATTGCATAGCTGATTTCGGGTCAATATATCAAAGCGCGTAAACGCCTCGTAGTCATCTAACGTGCAAACATTGGCATGGAACCCATAAATGTACACAAAATTTGTATTTATTATTATAATCTTTATAAAATATCTGATAATACAATGTACATATGTCTAATGTTCAGTCTTGACCGCCAAATGCCATTCTTTTTTACCTTTTTTATTGGATCTTCAGAGACGCCTTTACAAAAATTCTACCAATAGTTCATTTCGTCAATACAAGTAAAATGTTTTTTGAATTATTTAAATATAACGGTCCGTTATCTCAAAAACTGAGATAATATTTTTGGAACTTTTTGCCTCGTATCTCAGAAACGGCTAGACCTGCCTTCGCCAAAAACTAATCAGCACGTCTCCTTATCAACAGCAATCGAATGTTTTTTGAAGAATTGAAATCGGTTGAACCGTGTTCCCGAAATTGTCGACGAAAATTTGTATCAGCACACACACACACACACACACACACACACATACATCCACTTTTTTAAGGTATGCCAAAATGTTCAAAAACCTTTGAAACGTAAAGATATATAAAAATTTTCATTTACATTTTTTTTGCGATTACTATAGCTTGCTCTACGGGAAGTTGAAAAAAAAATATCACGCGTTGTTTGGAAATTGAGCTTTTAAGTGCAGTCAAGCGCTTTGGTCAAATTATGACCATTTTTCGGTTATTGTGGTTGATTTTAGGTATTTTTTTACATTTAAACTTTGAAACCATAACCGCGAATAACATTTCTAGAACCACAATCTAAAAAATTAACAGAATTGCGTCAAGTTTTTAAGACTTTTTATTGAACTATCAATTTAAAATTTTCAAAAGTTGGTCGACTTTGAGAGGCGTCTTTTTTAAAAAATGAAGTTAAGTGTGCAAGTTTCATTTAAAGTTGGCGCATTTGATCGAATTGTAAAGTGGCAAAACACTTGATAATTTTATTATTGAAAAATTTTGAGTTTAAAAATAAAAACCTGAAAATGACGTGATTTTTGCTAGTACATTTTACTCACAATTAGTTCAATAGTTCAGTCTTATAATTTTCAAACAACGTAAAATATTATTTTTTCCAAATTTTTTCAAGACTGTTTAGGTCAATATTATCATCCCGTTTCGACTTGACGTCAAGATCTGGGACACCCTGTACACGTATTATATATACACAATAAATATTTATATACATGTTTATTCGCCCTGCGTTAAATGTATTTATTCGTTCCTCCTTTTTTAAAGGAGTTTCTTGCGAAAAAGTTCCTTACTAATTCAAAACAATATTCCTAAGACCATTATTCGCGCTCTTCCATTGGGTGGCAATCACTTTCGCCTCTTCCTCCCGCAAGAAAGTTTGTCCGCCTCAGTTCCAACAATTCTGTACATATGAGGTAGCGCCGTAGCGCCTCACCGCCGTACCGCCCGCAACGTACCGAACAGCGTGCATGACCGGCGGCGGTGCTTCATAAAATCTTCGTGAATTTATGTCCTGGCGTTATTTGAAGTTATTGAACGGTGTTAGTTTGGAACTATCGCCGTATTAATGTTCCGGGAACCTGGAACATTGCTGCTTTTCCTCATGGGGGCAGACAGGGACAATGTAATGATCTTAAGTTGCCCGAAATCATTCTCCTTCTCGCTTTCTCGTTAGCGAATACCTTCGGAAGAAATCACTCCCATTTATAGTACCGGCACGGACAAACCCCGACACACCTGAACTAAAGATATAGTGTACGACGAGTATCTGCCTCGGCCCTCGGCGACCGCCAATGCTGGTCAAACTACCCCTGATGAGCTTTCACTCTTCAATCGACGGATGGTTTCAATTATTTTGGGTTCGATGATATTATCCGTAAACCATTAAACATTATTATTGTATTACACTCGAAGCCCACACATGAAAATATTTGCCTTAAGGCAAATTGCTGGAACTTTCCAGACTGTAATTTAAAATGTTTAAAATCTTTAAATAATTTGGAAAATTTTGAAAGGAAAACATTTTTTGGAAAGATGCAATTTTTGGAAAAAATCGATTTTTTTGCAAAATTTTGTAATTTTTGATATGTCTTGTAATTTTTTTTTTTTTTTGTAATTTCTGAATATTCTTTAAAGATGTTGAATTTCATTCAAGCTCAAATTTTGAAATTTTTGTACATTTTTAACTTCTTAAAATTTTCAAAATATCATGAATCCGGGCGATCCATACTGTCGAAAATGTCGACGACATTTGCTTGAACTATACAAGTGTACTTTAACCATAAATTTGGTACGGAACCCAAATGTAAACAAATATTGTACTTATTATCATTTTTGACTTCACTTTTTCTGACTTTTTTATGGATCCCCAAAACCGCTAGACCTGATTTTCCAAAAATTTCATAAATATTTCATTCCGTCAATACAAGTGAAATGTTTTTTTGAATCATTCCAATCGGATGCACCGTTCTCTCAAAAACTTAATTGCCATTCAAATATAGTATATTTTTTTATTTATATAAACATATGCATAGTATTGTTTGTTTTTCTGGCCATTGTTTATGATTTTAATTTATGAACTAAGCCTTTATTTTTTTTTTAAGAAAAAGATTTTTTTTAAATATATAATGCTTTCCCAATTTTTTCTTTCAAATTAATTTATTTTTTCTTTAAAATTTTAATTATTTTATTTTTTGTGTGGGGTTATAGGACGTCTTGTTCCCCTTTAATTTTTGCTAAGCTCGCCGTATTTTCAAAAATATTTTTTTGTAAATGTCAATTCGATATTTGATGAGTTTAGTTTTAGATACAAAGGTAAAAAGTGATATTAAATTTAAATTAATTTAGTAGATGTAGGGTCTTGACAAGAGCCTGAAATAATATCTATTATTATTGATTACGGCTTGCTTATGAATAAATAAACAAATAAATAAATAAAGTATAAATATATAAATGCATGTTCTGAAGAAGACATTCCATATCTCTAAAACGCAGGATAAAATAACATTTTTTTTTTTGAGAAAAAAATATTTTCAGTTCAGCAAATTATTATTATATACATGCAATATTCAAATACTAGTGCAAATTTATGCTGGTATTATAGTTTGTACAATTCAATGAAATTCAGTGATTTTGTAGTTGGATTTTCATCATCATCAATTTCATAATGAAATTATTTTTTATTAAATGTAAGAATTAAATGACCGTGGCTTTTTTCACTTTTTTTTAGTTAGCAAGCCAAAATTTGAAAAAAAAATCAGAACTTACGCTAAATTATTGAAAAATAAATATTTTAATCTACAACAAAGCGATAATAATTTTTGATGTTAGTTTTGAATTATTACTTTCAACCTTTCATTCCTCTTTTTCGAATATAATCATTCATACATTCTGTAGACTTTTATCATTTTTCTTTTTTTGCTAAACATTTTTAAAGATTAAATAATTTATATTTGAGAATCTCTTTTCCAATCTTATAAAAATATATCTCATAAAATAAGTTTTTAAAATTGCAATTGGACACGTGGAATCAAAGTAAAAATCGATTACATCTTAACGTTCGGAAACGGAACATAATAGTTGTTGGTAATAGTATTTAACTGGGAATTTTCAATTTGAAATGTTTTGCTTGGAGAGATATAATAAAATGTACTTATTTTATTTACAACATGCTTTAGAGCGTAGTATATATTTCAACCCTTTCGATTCGGATGCCGCCGCTTCATCGAGAAAATACATATAAATTCCGGAATTTGCGAGTGGAAAGTGTTAAATC